TTGTATTGTTCGATACATATGCGTACCGAACCGAAAGCACTGTATCGAACGGTTCAATATCGATACGAGTATCGTTGCACCCCTACTAAACACTGGGACAATCATTTTTACAGAGTTATTCTGGAACAAGAAATGTCTTGTTTTGATATGTACACATATCTATTTGATCAGAGAAAGTAACCAAGACCCAAGTTGAGATGTTTACTGACCGAGGACAAATGTGTTACATGCAAAGCTGTAATCAGTGAAAAGGATTCTCACATATGTTCCTTTATGATCAAAATGTTTCTGTGCTATATCGTGGCCATGCTGATATCATTATCTGTGGATTTATTTCTACAATCATACAGGTCCTGTGTATAAAAAATAGGCATATTTTTCAAATAGCTTCAACCCACATATGTGAATATGCTGTTTTGGTCAGAACTGGAAATTCTTAGTGGTTATGGATTTTTAGAAACGGTGATATCAACACACCTCCATTGTTGTATTACAAAACAGGCTTGTGTCTTATCCTGGTAACTTCAGGGTTACCTCTGGGTTTTCCGCACTTCAAAGGTGGTCCACTTCTTACCAGGGGTATATCATTATGCGAACTTATCCTGAAATCTTAACCTACTCTGGAGCAGGTTATGTTTGAGATTAGCGATCAACAGATATCTAATTACCACCTTCTGACCAATCATTTATTTGGAAAACAGCATAGCTCTGTGCATGGATAATGGATAGTAGGTCTGACTTTTATAATAAGATCTGAAGACTTGGTTTGTTACCAATGAATGACAATAATATATATAATCTATCAGGTTCTCCCACTTCTTAATGATACACTTCTTGTTTTGGTACGTCTGTTAACTTATAGTGCACAGTTGGCTTTTATGGCAGATTTTCTTCCCAATAGGAAAACCTTACTCATATAGCAACTCTTTCCCAGTCTTACTCACCAAAACTTTTAAAGTTATGTGTTTAACCTCTTCAGCTTTTTGTAGCATGGTAGTTTTATCTTCCTTTGTAAATTCACCAACAGTGCTGCTGGGACACATTTTCATGTCAAACTGTCTGGTTATTAGCTTGCCAAGTTAACCCTGCAAGTTGGTAACCAAATTTGTGTCACTGCTTATCATTATTGCAGATATTAGGGTAAGTAAATCTAATTATTCTTATCCTTATTCGTATTCTTCTTCTTATTATTATTATTATTACTTCAAATTTGGTGATGGCATTTCTACTACTCAAATCTTAAGTTGCTTATTAGTTTTAGTACAATTAAATGTATGTTAGCATGCTAATACATAAAGGTATAAAGTAAACATAATTAAAAAATAAATGCATATTAAATGATTAAAAGTATTGAACGCAGCATTATTCTGTCTTTGTTGCCTCTTTCATAGTGAAGTGAAACACTGCTGGTAACTTGAAGGCAACAACT